ATATATATATATATATAGAGAGAGAGAGAGATCATAGCTCATCATGCTGCAACATTAATGGCAGAGTAAAAGAAAACAGCTGTCCTCTCTGTACCCTTACCTTGTTATTCTCTACACTTCATCTGCTACTTAGAAGGATGGCTACCTATGTTATGAGATCTCTTCAGAAATGCCAGTCCAATGGATCGTCAGGTGAAATGGCCGAATAGCACTTATGAGATTTCAATGGGCTTCACTTTACAGGTTTTCACTTTCCAAAGGTTTCACAACATATCAACAGAGTGTATCAGCTTTGTTATTACAAACAAATCATGTGGTATACTATATGAATAATCACTGATAAAGAGAATGAGAAGTGACAGGGCTAGAGCTGCAGCCAGGGAAACTGAAAGAAATTTCCAAACTTTTGTAATGGAGTCAGTACTTAATGGGATCCCCAGTAGGTTCAATGAGGTAGAACAAGTGTACCCCTGATAACGGTTAGTTTTTCACCAAGTGAAGCAGAGCTGTCTACACTACAAGAGCTACAGCAGCATAGCTGACCTCTAATCCTCTAATCCCCTAATTCAAATGTGACCTCAGAGGGAATGTCTACACAGCAACTAGACACCCGTGGCTGGCCTCAGGCTGTGGGGCTGTTTCGCTGCTGCGTAGATGTCTGATACTGGGGCTACAGCCTGGGCTCTAGGACTCTGTGAGGTGGGACGGTCCCAAAGCTTGGGCTGCAGCCGGACCCAGAAGTCTACACAGCAATGAAACCACCACAGCCCCACGAGCCTGAGTCAGCTGCCATGGGAGAGCCCCAGTTTTTCCTTTATTACGATGTAGACATGCTCATAGAGCATCTGCAATATTATTTTATTATTAAAAATTCTTAGCACTGGGGCAACTCTGCTCCCACCATATGAGCAGGTAAAACACAGCACCCCTTGAACAGAGCTAAGGGCCTTTTGTTTTATGATAAGGGGTCAGCTGCCTGAATCATGAACTTTATCCCCAAATAAGTCAAAGCAGAGACTTGTTCTACAGGGTGGCCTCCAATCTTCCGCTCAATGTGCGGATGCTTCTTCCCAGAAATTGTGACTTGGTCTCATTATAAATAAGAACCAGGTCTTGCAAGTTAAAATAAGAGGAAAATTGAGATAACAGCCAGAAGATGCCTCATGGAGTTTGCAATAAAACAACCATGTCATCAGCATATATAACACCGAGATAAGTCTACCTTTAATGTGTGGTGGAGAAAATTAATTAATTAATTAATTTTCCTTTATAACATCCACTGTATCATTAATATATAAATTAATAACAAGAGGTGCTAGAAGGCATCCCTGGTGTTCTCCCCAAGCCACTGGGAAAACATTCTCCATTGCCTTTACCCGACCCACAGCACTCTGGTGCAGAGCTTCCAAAATGTTCAGAAGTCTTAGATCGATACCCATAATTCTTAATTTTGGCCAAAGATTGTCTAGATCAATAGAATCAAATACCATCTTTAAAACTCAAATAATAGCATAGTTCATACACTTAACCACAGTATATTTATAAATCATAGAGGAAAAAATAAAGCAATTATCAATTGTGGCTCTAACTGTTTTTATCTAACTTCTCTGTGTGAATGGCAAGAACATAGCAGGGAAATAATAGGTGTGAGGTGGCAGTCAGGGTGACGTGCCCGCTCCTTGTGTCCCCCCTCGGAAGAGAAACATCCAGTGCCCCTTGACCTTTCTCTGTGGAGAAAGTAGCAGGTGAGAAGACCAGCACCTTCCAACAACAGAAAGACAGATGAAATAGAGGCACTGACTGGGAGATGAGAGGGACAGCTCACTGCCCTGTCACAGCTCCCTGTTGCCCTATGGATGTCCTCCTCCCCATGGATTCTCATTCTTCATTTACTCCCCTCAACTTTTCTATTTGGTGCTTCCAAATGGGAGGAAATGAGGGGAAAGAGGAAGAAGGTGAATAGGAGGGGTCTGCGAAGGGGTCTGTGAAGGTTTGTGCGGGGGATTGTATTTTGTAGGCTCTGAACCCTGGTTAGAATGAATCCCCCAGGGAACTTGGAGGCGTCATACAGCTCTATAGAACCCTTAGAAATGTTCTTACATTTCCCTGGCTGCAGTTTAAGCCCAATCACTTCTTGTTCTCTCTGCCCTGAAAGAATGAGACTAATCCTGAGAGGTGCCTGGCACCTGCAAATGTCACTGGCTTCCCCATGTTTGATGCATCAACATTTTATGTCTCTACTTTAGATAGTTATCGTTAAGGCTGATGCTTTTTATGACAGAAAAAAGAAAGGGAAACCTCTTGGTTTTCTACAATCACTAAATGTTAAAATCCTCATTTAGATACACAGCAAAAAATCCATGGATTCCTGGCATACAGTATTTATAATGTTATTCAATTTATGTCTCATAAATCTCCCTTAAAAAGGATTTTAATCTCTTTGG